TAAGCTTTTAAGTCCGAAAGACCTGAAAGACCTCGCTCGAAAAGCGCTGAATTTTTGTTTTTTGTTTTAATCTAGAGATGCCTAGTAATTTAATAGGAAGTATTTTCATAATGTTTTAATAAATTAAAACTATTTTGCAAATAGAAAACTATCTAAAAACGTTGAAACTTTTTCAAAAAGTCGAAAGTTTGATAAAAACGGCTATTTCTGGTCGAAAAAGCGATAATTGTGTATTTGATCAAGTTTGTACATGTTTGAAATGCGAGGCATTTTCAGAATGTGTCACGCTCTGTGCCTTATCTGAAAATTTTCCTTTTAAGTTTTTCTGATTTCTCTGATTTTAAGTTTTTATCTGATGGGTTTTTTATTCTGCCTTTTCTAGAAAGTCCCACGCGCTGATCGGTTCGATCGGCGATAAACCGTACTTTCCTGCCTATTTCCGATAGTTTACAAAATCCGTCCATCAACGCCCTCCCAGCCACCGTTTGTTAGGGGCGCCCGGTGAACGATCCATGCGGTCGATTAGTGGCATGCGGCTGATCATCGTCGCGTTCTACCTCGCATTTTGAAGTCACGGCGACGACGGGCGGGATTGGCATTTTGAGGCAGGCGTTTTTAACGCGGGTTTTTAACCCCAAAACGACCTTACACATGCCAATTTTGCGGCTCTTTTTCTTTAGCGGGGGCGGGGATTGTGCTCGATAGTAATAAAACACAATTCATTTTTATTTACGATTTTTATTGGTTTCTGAAACCTAAAAAGTCAGTAAAATCTTTTGAAAGGTTTGAAAATTGAAAATTGCTAGCATGTTTTCATAGATTCTTGATCAAAAGCCAATCTTTTTTGATACAAACTTTAGCGCTTAAACTTACTATCATTTTTAGCAACCAATACTGACTACCAATACCCTTGCGAAAGCTTACCGCAGCACGAGGCGGAAACTCTCGCGTCCAGACGTCATCGACATAACCTCAAAAAAGACGACCCGACATTCGCCGTGCCGATACGACGGAATTCTCGCCGGCAACCACTGCCGCACCATCCCGCCCAACACCGGCGAGAAATGCACGGATTTCGCTTGCGAGTAAAGGCGCCATGTTCGCCATATTTATAAAAAGCCAAAATTATCTTTTTCGATGAAAAAGGTCGATTTTGCAAAAAAAAAAACATTTTTCTAGACATACTAACGTTTTCCATATTAAACCGGTCAGAATTTCCAGTGCACGGCAAGTCACTCGGGACGCCCTACGACCCAAATTTCCCGCTCATGTTCGCCCAGCCGTGCATGTGCGACGACAGGTGGAGCGGCGACTTGTGCGAGTACAACCTCACTGATCATGTGAGGGGTCATCTTACTTTTTCGTAGGAAAATCCGGTACTGGATTGTTAGCGGGGGCGGGGGTTTAGCGAGGGAACTAAACTAAACACTGTTTAAAATCTGATAAAATGGTTAACATTTGCTATAGGGCCGTACGGATTCATCCGAAAAATACCCCCCGCTAACAGCCCAGTACCGAAAATCCTTGCAGTGCTCGATGCGCGGTGAACGTCTACCGGACGGCGGCTGCGCGTGCCAGCCGTACTTCTTCGGCTCGATCTGCCAGTACACGAGTCGCTGCGACCAGGGCCATATTCGGCACGGCAGGTGGGTGGTCATTTTTTCGGCCGGATGGAGATGAATTTTAGGTGTATCTGTCAAAGGATTGGGGCGGAGACTATTGCCATCTGATCGTCTGTCATTACGGGTATCCAGGTACGAATCGTAATTCGCTATTTTTAAGCTTTAAGCAAAATTGACCTCTTCAAGCCGGTGATTTTGGTACTGGGCTGTTAGCGGGGGGTAGTGGGAAACTATATTTTCCCCGTAATTCTATACGGCCCCATCTACTATAATAATTTTCTTGAGGTGTCTGTCCGTCTGTCCGTCATGTCCCGAATTCAACTCGAAGGGGAAAGGAGCTAGAGCTTAGCTCGCTTCGGATTCGGATAGAGCGTGGTCAGAAACCCCCAAACTGATAAAAAATTATGAAAAACTTTTAGTTTAAATTATTAAAATTAACTTTGAAAGCTTTTTCCTTAGTAAAAGGCGGGGACGGAGGTTTGCCCGATTTCGGACGTAGTGAGCCAGGTGGCGCGCATGTCGGCCAGGGGAGGGCGCACAGGGGTAGCCTGAAGTCCAGCCGCTTGCAGCGGCGAAGCCGCTGGAAGCGGCTGGTTAATAACTAAATATAAACCATTTGTTCCTCATTCTACACCGTTTTCAGATAAAAAGTTATAAATAAGTTTAAGAATTGACCAAGATTTTCGATTTTTTGTTGAAAAATTTGTGAAAATGACAAAAAGTAAAAATTCCACTCTTATAAAATTTACAAACGTTGCTATAATTTCTAGGAATCCAAAACCAATAAAAAAGCTATAGAAAATAACTATGGGGGATTTAGAGATTTTACAAAATAAAAACCCCCGCTTTTTTGAGACGTCATGAACCGGATCGCGGTCCTGCATCTGCCCGCCCAAGTACAAGGGCGCCCACTGCACGACCAATGCGCCCAGGTGTAAATCCTTTTTCAAGCTGGTACGCATGCTAGCAGCGATCATTCAGGAGAAAAATGCGGTTTTTTAAGCTTTCCTATCTTTTTCTTGCTCTTTTCTTGCCTATTTTTTTCTTGGAGATCCAGGATTGGCCTGACAAAAGTATATAAGGGTTTTTATATAGTTTAGCGCGTTAGCTGTAATTGTGGTAGAAACTATCAAAAAAAGTTAAAAAGTCCTTGAAAAAGTCGAAAATTTGGTCATTCTCGGCGGAAAAATCAATTTTTCGACCTAAAATTTAACGTTTCGTTAAAATTTGTAAAGTTGTTATGGTCATGAATGGTTAAAAGCAATATAAAACGTATCAAAAGCTAGGCATGCGCCGAAAAACCCAAAAATGTATTCGTTACCTTTAGGTGGGACCAAAATTGGCGTCTACCCGAAGTGCGCCGTCAGTCCTGATCCCCGCCATGCGATGGCGCGAAAAGACCAAATCACAGGTTTTGCTATGATTTAAACCTCAAAAATTGCTTTTTAGATCCGCTCCCACCTCGTCATCATCCTGGGCGCGTGCGGGTTTCTGGCCGTCGTCGCGCTGGCCATGGCCTACGTGCACTACCGCCGGAAAAAGGCCAAAACCCAGAAGTAAGATAAGGAGGCTTCATCGTAATGATTTTAGATTGAACTGGCTCGCCAGCAAGAACTCAACGAGCGCGCGGCAGTGCTCACCGAGCAGGCCATGCGCAGGTACTGGCTATCGGTTTTCATCAACTTTTGGCGCTGGACTGTTAGCGGGGGGGTAGTTTATTTTTCCGCGTAAGCAACCTGTTAATAATCAAGGCTATATTTCTAGCATTTTTAGTAGTTTTTGATTGCAAGAAAATTAAAAAATCCGCAAAAATTACTTCTGACCATTTTTATACATTTCTGACCAAAAAGTCTAGCATTTTGAGAGTTTCATAATTTTTTGTGCTTTTTTATACGTAAAAACTGTGCAAAAGCTATAAAAATGCTCTGTTTCTTTACAGGGCTGGATTGCTGAGAAAATTTCGTTCCCCGCTAATAGCCCAGAACCATTTTTTGTGTTTTTATAGGCCAAAACCCGTTTAAAATACTATAAACGGTCTATGTTCCGTCATCAGCTTACTGGCGGGAAAGCGGTCGTTTCCGCTTCTCTTGAAATCCTCTGAAAACTCTTAACCCAACTTTTAGCGCTCTTCCGGGGCCGCAACGAAAGCGCTCTCTGCTTGGGACTTTCCAACTCAGAAGGTTGATTTCGGCAATTATTTAAAGTACCACTACTTAGAGACTTCCCCAGCGAACGGCGCTCTTCCGGGGAGCGACGCCGCTAACTGCCCTTCCATTGCGCGACGGAGGCCCCGCCGGTGGCACGGCTGACGATTGGGGAACGATACCTTAAGAGCTTTCAGATTCTGGAGGGACGACAACCTCAAGCCGAGCTTTTTTTGAGGAGAAAATGGCTAGGCTTTTCTGGTTCTTTAGGATTCAAAGGCGGGCAGAAGTATCAAACTAAGCGCCATCACAATTGATCCTCGAGTTGATAAACGAAGTTTTTACCTTTTTGACACTGACCGGAAAATACACGCGAATCGGCCAGCAAAATCACACAAGATCGATTTTTTAAACCACCTAAAAAGCCAGCCCTGATGTCGGATCTGCATTTTGTGGACTTAAATTTTGCATGTAATTCTTGAATTATTAGGCTGCAGAAATTTAAATAAATATCCAAGTATTTAAACGATTCCACTTCTTTTCTAAACATCAAAACGCGACGAAAATCATCTCCGACGCCTCGCCATGGGTCTTCAGGCTCATGCTGTAGCGTCATCCGATGGCTGGCTTCGGCCGCTATTCTGGTTTTCTGCTCGTCTGCTCCAACTTTTGGCTCTACTGACCAGTAAGTATTTATCGCTTTCTCTCGACTGAACAATTTCAGACTCCGCAACTTCCTCGATCTGCCTTTTGACGACCCGCTGAACCTCTCGCCGGCGATGCTGCGCAACCACCACCGTATTCGTCGTCAGGAGAAAGATGTGAGGCTTGAACAGTTTGAGAACCGAATTTAGTGCCCCACCAGACGCCAGTTTATCTGCTACGCTTACGATGTTGTGGAAGAGCCGTATCCGGATTGGCTACAAAATACGAGGCCAAGGTTTGTAACCCCCGTTGATCGACAACGGGCTATTTTTAGTGTGAAAAATGCAAGACTGATATCGTATGCAAGGACACGGACAAGGTGGAGACCGCCACCGATGATGGCAGACTTCAAGTCGCGAAAAGCTGTCACCCCAACTTTTGCGTAAGGCGATTTTTTTGGCATATAGATTTTCTTGCAGGTTACCGGAGAGAATTGCATAACGCCAGTCGAACTGAATGGAGGTTCGTATATCGTCTATACCTATAGTCTGCTATTTCAGGAAAAGTTTTCTTCCCGTTCAACCTTTGCACTCGACAAATGGCGGCGATCGGGGAGTGTGATGACAAGAAGCTGTACTTGCCAGCCTAGCTTCAGAACTTGGAACAAATTTAGGAGCTCTAAGGCCTTCGATCCAAGCGGAGACAAGTTCACCAGCCAGTACTGGGTGCAATGCGATGCGGGCTTTATTGTTCCAACGTACGTAGTTTTGGTACCGGCCCATTAAGCCCCCTGATTCCCCTGATTCCTCTGATTACAGGTTCGTTTCCACCGCATATACAAATTGGAACGGCGAACTCCTCGAGCGCCCAGCATTGACGTGCGTGCCCAGCCTTCAAAGAGCCGCTGGTTTCTTGAAAGAGGATCCATCGCTGCTGTACAACGACCCTACGACGTTCCCGATCTCATGGACTTCACGGTAGCATCTTTCAAATTAGCCAATGTCCCCCTTTACAGTACTGCGGAATAGGAGGCCGGCCCGAAAATTCCTCTTGTGAACCGTTGCCGCTGTGCGACGTCAAAACCCAAAAACCGTAGCGGGCTTCAATCGCTTAGCAATGTTTCATAGGGTGGTTTCGCCGTTCCGGCCGACTGTAGTCAAACGCGCGACGGAATGTGACGTGCCGTGTGAGCATCGGGGCGCCAACGGCACATACGACGACTGTGTCTTCCTTGACATCCTCGACCCAGACGCAAAGATCTTGTACTCTGCGAAGCGTGCTCACGTCTGTTTCGAAACTTTTACAAAACTTTGCTTTTTGAGTCTGGCCCGTATGCGCAGTTCATGAGCGAGGAAGAGAATCTGCGACTCGACGTGATCATCAACACCACCGTCGCCCCTACGAATCAGAGCGACCCCACGGTGAAACCAGAAGCCAACTCCCCGGCGAATTCTGAACAAATATCAGGTAATTGATCGTCGTGAGTCTTTATTTTTCCCTCTTAGTTCAACCACGCTCAGGCGCTCGACGACGAAGGAGGCCGACGGGTTCGCCGCCAATCCATGACGGAACAAGTGATTCGCTACCCGAAATGCATTGACATCAACGGGCTGTCGGTCAGGCGTATCGTTTGATTGCATCTTTGTTTTAGACTTATGATCGCAATCGGGTCGAAGCCGACCTGATGCTCGACTGCCGGACCAACGTCTTCTTCAAGGCCTCCGGCGCTGGGGGGCCGAAACTGACGCCACCTTCCTGCGACGGTGACGACGATGTTGTGGGTGATTTTCTATCAGAATGTCGAAAATTTGTCGGTCTCGGTCGACAAACGTCGGACGAATATCCATCGAGCAAAATCAAACTACAGTGCTTTCGCATCATCCGAGATTATTATCGCTCATACCGGAAATTTTCCGGAAAGAGGGAAAAGTATCGATTTTTTTCTGTCAAAAATGGCCCCGGTAAAGCGAAAGCACCAAAAGAACCAAAAGAACGATAACACGATAAAGGCACAAAAAGCGGTTTAGCGGATTTGCAAAGGGAGAACGGAACCGACAACGATTGCACCGAGCGCCAGCGGTCCGAATGAGGACGAATCCGGGCTTGGCCTAAGATTGGGTGAGCGGCCTTCTAGACTTCTTAGGATGCGGAGAGGCCAATGAAATATTCTATAAAGATCGCGCTTTCAGCCGTGGCGGCCGCTGTCGTCGGCATCTGCCTCTTGGCAGCCGTCGCCACCGTCGGTGTCTTGTATAAGCAGTGGGTAAATTTGCGTCTCTGCACCACGCACAACCTGCGTCCTGAATAAACGTCATTTAGAAAGCGCATCTTCTACCACCAACTGGCGGAACCGTTGCCGCAACATCATGTGGCCGCAAAATGTTGAACTGGCATGGCAGCCCTATGGCGGTAGTTGGGAGGCGCGCTTCTACCGAAAGGTACGCCAAATATGCCAAATCCCCAGATGAGGCCTTCCCTATCTCTTTCATTCTGATTTTCAGGTCACTGGCCAGCCGCCAAAAGTGAAGCCCAGCTCACTTGGATACTCGCTGAAAGGGCATTTGGCCCTTTGCATGGTGGGACTTCCACAAAGCGAGCCGGTTCCCCTCGCGATTATGACGATTTCGCTACCGATTTAGCGCGCCGATTAAAGCCCGCCAGGATCTTTTAATTTTAACACGTGTTTCATTTCAGCACTAGAAAAGGCACATTTTGCAGAAGAGTGAGAAACTGAACCCCGGGGTGCCGTGGCCGCTGAACGGAAAGGGTTGCCCGATCCCATCGACTAACGAACCGATCCGCGACCCGGTGGTAGTCGCCGAAACGCTGCTCAGTGCGCTCGCACAGGACAACTTGGTTACGGTGTACAATTGTGGGCCGGTAAGCAAGCTAGACGAGCTGTGTAGCAGACGTTTTTTCCGTTCTGGACTGTGGGGGGATGGATTTTTAGCAGGGGAAAATTTAAATATGTAAGTTTTAGTAGAATAAATAGTGAGGTAAAAATTATGTGTATCCTACCTTATATAATTTTGGGGTGTATCTGTGTGTGTGTGCTCTGATTCTTCCGTCACTTGGGGAATCGACCCTTCTGTTTCCACTAGAATTCCATTCCACATTCCACAAGAATTTCCACCAGGGTTGAAAAGCCGCCTCGCGACTTTTCAACCCTGGCCCCGTCTTATTCTATTCTTATTCCTAACAAAGAGGCCGAGCGAGATTTTCACAAAAACTTAATTTTAATGTCGAAAACAGCTGATTTTGAAAAATCTGATAGGTGTGCAGTCGTGTCATGACCATTACGCATCTAATGACGTATCATAAATGCCCTTAACTTTATTGAGATACGACTGGAACATACGGATGGAAGTTGCATGCAAATGCACGCACACAAACACTTTTTTTTATAGATTTGTTTCTATAGCTAAAAACTATGTAAAATTCTATAAAAACGTTTGTATTTGTTATAGGGCCGTAGTGACTCAGGGACAAATTTCGTTTCCCTCCCCCACACGCTAAATCCCCCTGCCCGCTAACAGTCCAGAGCCTTTTCTTTTTGCAGACCAAGCTCTTCGACAACAATGACCTCATCGCTCTATTTAACCATGCGAAGAGCATGCAGGCACAAGTGAAGAGCGTCGTGCATCTGACGGGGCCCACCTGGGTGGTTGGCGACATTCATGGTGATGTGCGTGCTTTATAGGTTACAGGCAGATTCAGTGTATAAGAACACTCCCAAACTAACGTGTGCTTTGCAGTTCAACGTCCTTTGGCGCATGTTCGATGCGTACGGGCGGACGGCTCTTCCGGGCCAGAAGTATAAGCTTTTGATAAGCACATTATTGCGTTTTTCAGCATCGTCTTCCTGGGCGACGTCGTCGACAGGGGCGCCCGTCAAATGATGTGCCTCGTGCTCATCGTAGCCTCGATGGTCCTGCACCCGAAACAGGTGGGCTTTGACGGGAAACATGGGGCTGAACTGCGGATAATCCTACCCAGCCCGTTGTGGAAAAGGCTGTAAAGTATACCAAAATAGTCCGGAGGAGAAGGCGAATATTTTGGCATACTTGACGCCCTGGTGGCCAAGGGGGGGGGGGGGCGTGAAACAGCGGCCTTACCGCAGCACGTCTCGATTTCCTTACGTGGCAGGTGTTCTACATTGCCGGCAACCACGAGACCCCGTACTGCTACAACCAATATGGATTTTCCACGCAAATCAAGGACGAGCAGAAATACTCGGCAGAAACATTTGCTGCAATTGAGGGCTTTTTCAAAAGTCTACCGCGTGTCGGCACCATCGACAAGCGCATCCTCGTGGTGCACGGCGGTATCCGTGGGTTTTTCTGGGCTTCGGAATAGATTATATATTCTGTCTTTTTTATAGTGTTTTGAGCAGTTTTTTGATTGTTATAAAGTTATAAAAATATTTTTGAAAATTTTACCTTTTTTGGTCATGTTTCATCCATTTTTGACCAAAATTCAAACGTTTTCGAAAATATAGTATTACTTTTATATTGTTTTCATATCTAAAAAACTATATAAAATGCTATATAAATGGTTTATTGTGGTTATAGGGCCGTAGAGAATCACGGAAAAATTTGGTGACCCCCCCCCCTAACAGTCCAGAACCGTTTGCCTTACAGCCCCGCGCATGACTACCGAGCAGCTGCGCAACGGCTTCGACCCCAACGACGAATCGGCCGAATTGACGCGTCTCCGCCTGTCGCTGCAATGGAACGATCCGTGTAACGGAGGCCGATGGTCCCGAGTAGGTCGCTAACCCCATCCCGAATATTTGGTCGCTTTTTGAGGTGGCCCTATAACACGAGCCGCGGGTGCGCCCAATACTTCAACAAGCAGATGATCGACGATTTCCGAGCGATGCACGGCATCGACTTCATCATCCGTGCCCACCAGGTGGGAAAGCCCAAAACGGGCAACTTTCGCGGTTTTTCGCCCTTTAAAGCATCATAACTTTCTGAATTTCGTCGTTTCACAAATTCTGAAAACGAGGTTTTCATCAGCGAAAAAAAAATGCTACACACGAGAGACTTGGTCCCATTCTGGAAACCCGTGGACACCAAAAACGACCGCTTGTTAGTCTCTGTTCCGACGGGCGTCAGCTTCTTCGGCAATTGGCTCCATCTCGCTGTTCACCACGCCGCATAAGGTATGTTGCTCCCCATCACTGCCTGTCAGGGCGCGCATGGGGGTGGGGGAGGGCGTGGCCTAGTGGTCTAAGGCGCCGGTCCCATCCTCAGGCAGAGGGTGCTGGTTCGGTTCCTCTGACCGACAGAAGTCCGTTAGGGTTTTGCACTTTTTTGCAAAAGGTACAGAAGGGGATCCAAAACCGATCTAAAGAGAAGCCCAAGCGGAAAATAAAAGTTTTGCTATTTCCCGAGCTCTAAAGAAGAAATTCTCTCAGATGGTGCCAATTCGCTCAATAAGGGAATATCATAATAACAAAGACATGTACTGCCCAAATTAGCCACAATTCAATGATTTCAAGCCCCTTCATCCATACAAAGCTGAAAACTTTGACTAGCTTCAGTTGTTCAATTATTAGGATCTCTCATTCAGCACCTTTTTTACTTTCCAGGACCGCAGAAGTACCCAATTTGACAGTACCTATTCTTTCCGTTGAATATCGAAGAAAAACCCGGAAGAATGCTGCTAAACGCAAAGAAAAACGCGGCGCACAACGCTCGTATTTTCGCAATTTTTCCGGCTTAAATCCTAGATAAATCCGTATTTTCACGCTAAATCACCCTTAAAACCCCTCCCATAATGTGCGCAAGAGTCTTCCTCTATATTTCGTATCGGTGGACTCCCCACAACAACGTCGTTTTCGAAAGTTATAGGCATTTGAAGTTGAAAATTTGTGACTCTTTTTTGGCCCCTTTCTTTGCCTCTCTCCCGAAAAATCATGGATCGCTAGGCAAGCATAGTGTGCGCGCGGGCATAGGAACGCTACGGAGCGCTCCCCACCTCTCATGAGCGCATTTCTTAATATCTGACAGCCAGTGCCATTGCACCACGGTATTCAGGAAACTTTGTCTTTTCCTCCGATATCTACCTGTTAATAATAAATACAGCATCTTTCAATGTTTTTCGTAGTTGTGATTGCTAAACATTACAAAAAAATATTTTAAAAATTTTAAAATTCGAAGTTTTTAACGTTTTTGTTCAATTTTCTTACATTTTCGACCAAAAAGTGAAAAACCATAAAAAGGAATGAGTTCGTATAAGTTTTTATATCTAAAACGGTGTAAAATGCTATGAAAATCATTAAAAATTCAAAACCCAAATTTAGAATTAAAATTAGGTAAAAATTAGTTCCCTTACTAACAAACCGTTCAGGACAGCTTCGAGCCATTTTGCGCTACGACGGCAACAAGTTCACCTTCTTGCACATCATCCCGCTCCACCTTAGACGTTACAGGTCCGCGGCGAGCGTCACATGCTTCAGAACACTTCAACGTTTTTCCAGACGTTGCGTCGCTAGACCACTGTTTTGCACAGGCCATGGGATTCAAGCCCTTCGAGCGGGAATCGCAGCAGCAGAATCCTGCTGGAAAGCCCCCGTAGTGCGGTATTTTTGCCTCTACGAGTAGCCCTTTTACGGACTATTTCGGCACGAAGATGCGAATCCTGGGTTTCACCTTGTTTACAGGCCCCTGAGGAGCAGCGTACTGAACGTATCCATCTCGCCGCGCCGGCCGCGCCCGCCGCCACCAAATAATTCGGAGGAAATGCCTGACGGGACTGACCACGAGGAGACTACTGAACGCAAAATATACTCGATTTTTCCCGTTCTAACTCGGATCTGACCTATTCCGCGTTCACCAGATAAACGAGTCACCCGAACCATTGTTGTTGACATTGTGATGGAATAGCTATGTACAAGTTTTTATCAGGAACCAATCGGAAAGGTAGATGTACACAAAAATAGCTCAGAAAATTCAGAGGAAGATGATAATGACGATGATGAGACATGTTCGCGATACCGGCCACAGGAAGTGTTGGAAAGGGGCTGCTTGCAAGAAGGCTGCCTTCTAAAACGCGGCCAGCTGCCGGATGAGCCCGTTCAGAAAGCGGTGATCCGGTCCATTGATGCTGGACAAAAGTGCTTCTGCAGCTCGTCCTGAAGGATGGGATATTTTGCAAATCTTAAGCCTAAGCCAAGCCTCCCTCGGCCTAAGCCTAAGCCTATGCCTAAGCCAAAGCCTAAGCCTAACCCAAAGCCGTCTCTTCAATAAACAACCTGCAACCTGCCAACTTACATAGGCAAATCTCCGCCGTTGCTGCGCGGTGTCCAGGCCAGCAGGTCGTCCAGCTCCAACTCGACGCCCTAAAAATAAATTTGCTTTGAAAATACGGCCCAAAACACGCCCGCGTAACCGATTACGCGGCCAAAATCCGCCCAGAATCATCATGTGGGACTCACATTTTCATCCTTCCCCGTACAGCTTCGTCACCTCCTCCTCCACCCCAGTTTTCCACCTGAAAATGCGATTTTTTTACTTGAAATTGCCGAGAAAATCTAGCAGAGGAATTTGTGGACCGGCGAGTAGTACCTGCATCCGCTTCCGGATGAGCACCATCTGCTGTTTGCCGTACTTCATCGTCAACACCCGGCTGCGCTCTATCTGAAAAAGTTGCGTTGTAAAACCAAGCAGGCAGGCTAGCAGGGATTATTTAGGGACCCTGAGCAGCTACTCACCTGTCGCTCCTCGCGGTCGCCGAATCGGGCATGTTTCGGCTCTTCCGTCATTGGATTCTGAAATTCGATATTGGTGAAGAATTTAAGATTTCGTTGAAGGAAAGTAACAAGAAAGAAACTTTCGAAATATCTCTGCTAGCCTGCCCTCTCCTCTTCCTCAAAAATCTCTACTAGCCTGCCCTCTCCTCCTCCTCAACAATCTCTGCTAGCCTGCCCTCTCCTCTTCCTCAACAATCTCTGCTAGCCTGCCCTCTCCTCTTCCTCAACAATCTCTGCTAGCCTGCTCCTCTCCTCTTCCTCAAAATCTCTACTAGCCTGCCTCTCTCCTCTTCCTCAACAATCCCTGTAGCCAGCCCCTCTCCTCTTCCTCAACAATCTCTGCTAGCCTGCCCTTCTAACAAGTATAACTTACCAACAACAAAAAAGACGTTTATTTCAAGTGTTGGGCTGGGCCGTGTATGTGTGCCTGTGGGGTACTTGGAGGGTTAGTACACGGGGAAAAGCTTGGGCAAATAATCCTCGGGACGAACCCCCCATCCGGTTCATCTGGGCGAGCGATGATTGCTTTTTCGGAATCTGAGGCAAAAATTGGGAAATGAAGTCGTTGGAATGCGATAGATTCATGCTAGCAGAGATTGTTGAGGAAAGGTAATCTAGCAGAGATCATTTGAAAAGCGAGGCTTGGCCTAGGTTAGGCTTAGGCTTCGGCTTAGCTTATGTCGAGTAGTAAGCCCAAAAAACCCGAACCAACCCACTGATGTCAGCAAAAATCACGCTCAACGTAGAGACCATCGATTTTTGAGCATCAGAAATGCAACCAAAAAGCACGCAACGAAAATCTGGCCCCGGAAGCCTTTTGGCCAAGTCCCTGGGGGCCAAATTGGCGGCACCCCGGCCGGGAGCCACACTTGACAACCTGAGAAAAAGACCACCTCACGCCCCCGCATCCACGAATCGTTCTCAGAATTCCGAAAACCATTTATAATTCAGGGCAAGCTAGCATAGATTCTGAGAACTTTCGAAACTGACAAAAATTGCCAGGCCTTGGCAAGGCTTGACATCCGTCCTTTGGTCCCACCCGAAAAAAGCCTCCGAAAAATAGCCGAATAATTTATTGGGCGCCGTGCGCCGAAATTCCTGAATTTCCTTGTTAGGGCCCGAAACGGAAGAGCATGAAGCAATGTTCTCCAAGAATCTCTGCTAGCCTGCCAAGTTCAATTTGCTGAAGGCTGGGCGCATGGCATCAGAAATTCATTGCCGATTGACTCGAAAAGCAGCACCAGAAACCCCGGCAGAAAGGGTAGGCTAGCAGAGATTGTTGAGGAAGAGGTGAGGGCAGGCTAGCAGAAATTGTTGAGGAAACCAATGGCTGGCATGTCATCTTTTCGCCTCCCAAAGACAAACGATTAAATTAGCGAGCCACGGAATCGGATTTTAGGCCCGCCCGCCCTCGGGGAAACGTGAAATGTTTCTGTTTTCCCGAAAAATCTCTGCTAGTTGTCCAGTAGCAAGCAGGCAATTTTCCCAATTTAAAAACCCGGTAATCGCTAGGATTTTTCCTGCTGCGCGCGAGTATTTTCCGCGAGCAGGACCGACAAGGCCGAACGACGACCGGGCGGTAAAATGGAAAGAAATGGAATGGCGGCAATGGGGGAGGGGGGATGAGCCGCAGGGGACCTGAAGGTCGGCCCCCGGATAGGTGCCGGTTCAGTGAGTCAACGCGCGATGGTTGCGTGCATTTTTGGAAAGCCGTACGCAGAGGGCAGCCTAGCAGAGATTATTGAGGCAAAATATAGAAACACGCATTGAGATTTAGCTCGTCCGGTAAGGCCAACTAGCAGAGAATATTGGTGAGTGTTTCCGGATCCAAGCACGCGTGAAAACCCGTGGTTTCCGCAAGCATCCCTGCTAGCATGTCGTGAGCTGATCTCGAGGGGATTTCTCGAAAAACGGGGGGCAAAACCCAAAAACTGGGCAACGAAATGAATCACGGCGAGAGCACCTGTTAGCAGCCCCGTGGTCCATTTGGCCCGAAAAAGCAAATAAATCCACAAGAAAACATTTCTTCCGTTTCAAGGCGCCCACAAACCTGCAAACTCGCTATGTTAAAGTTTTGTGGACCTTCGCCCTTTATTTTTGGTTTTCAGCCAACTTTTAACCTAGTTTCCTTTTTGCTTAAAATAAAATTTTCTAAATAAAAAAATATTTTTTACAGCTAAACTTTTCAAAATTCAGAACCTTGGTCGAAAATAGGCCATTTTTGGTCGAACACTTATATCTTCTAATTTTTAATGAGAACGGTAAAGCATTTGCGTTTAGGACTAGTAAAACATAGTCCGCTATTCATTCCAGAAAAATTGGATACAAAAGAGAAAAGTCGTACCCTCCGCCCCCGTTAATGCCACAGTACCACCCAAGATGAACCATAACCGAAAAACTGGGTAGATTTCAAAACCCAAAACCCAGTCTGGGCCAGCGCAAAATCCAGGAAAATCTGAAAATGGTTCCCAAACCACATGAATGGCGGCGCAAAACAGCCCACACCTAACCCGCCATTCAAAAGCGAGTCAATCGCGTGCTAATCTTTTTTTGCCAGGGCTGGGAAAATCGTTTTCGAATTCACTGGGTTGCAAAAGCCTTTAGAAAAACAGCTCTGGCTCCAAAACAGCCCGCCTGGATGTCGGGGTGGGGATGTGACCCTTTCTGATCTTTTCCATTATCGGGGGAGGGGTTTCTTATGAGGAATTTTTTAAATATAAATCGCGGGAGTGTTTGCTACTTTTAAACGGCTCGAAAAAATACAAAAAGAATCGATTTTTCGATTAAACATCCAATGTTTCTGACCAAAATATCGACGTTTTTGGTTGAAATCGTTATATTTTTCTAAAACCACTTCGTATTACATTTAGGAATTGCTAGACATAGACAAAAAACAATTCCCCGATAATGCGAAAGAACCGGGGAAGTCATCTAAAAATCTGAAACAAGTATCTTTGACCTCAAAAAAGTTGTCACATTTTTATTATTTACAAGTACATATGTGCGAGGGAAAGGGTGAATAAACGCGTCACGACGTCCGGGGAGTGTATCACAGTATCGATTCGGGGCATGTTTTAAAGGGACCGTGAAGGCAAAGGGGAACCTCGGGTTCTGGTTCGTTAGCGGGGGACATTTTTGTCAATAGATTCTCTTTTTCTTAAGGCACATTACTCGCTGTATACAACACCCCATAGTTAGCGTTATTATTTCTTTAGCTTATAATTTTATTAAATTATTGTGTTTTGACCTAGAATTACCCCCGCTAACGAACCAGAACCAAAAATCGGAATTATCTCAGAAAATCGCGGGAATTCGAGTATAAGTATTAGGGTTACAAGCGTGCGTCTTATTCGAGCCTAATTTGGCAGAATAAAGTCGAAAATCGGAAAAACTACATTCAAATCACAAAAAGGGGGACGATAACCCGTCTTTTTCTCACAATCAATCGAATAATAAAGGCAACAACGCAGGAGAGGGGGGCGCGGCAAATAGAGAAATCTTCACTCGACGAGCGTAAGGCCCGTAAAAACGATTTTCGACGCGCTAATGGCTGTGTCCGAGGCGAGGATGGCCGGGATGACGGCGCCGACGATCATGTAGAACAATTCCTAAAATTGGAAGGTGAAAAGGTTTTTTTGCAATATCGAGGGGGGTGGGGGGCGGGAAGAGGACGGATTTTGTTGTAGATGCCTATAAATCCCTAATATGTAATAGGAAGTATTTTCTTAAGGTTTTTCGGAAAATATAGTATTTCAACTAGAAAAACTATCTAAATAAATTTATTGATGCGATATTTTGGCCAAAAACGCTCATTTTTTGTGTAAATACCTAAGCCTAAGCCTAAGCTTTGGTATTTTCTAATAAAGGTTGTAAAGTTTTAACGTTTTTTACGATTCCCTAGCCAGAAATCCTCTCAAAAATAAAATAAAATAAAAGTATTTAAATAAAAACGACGGTTTTCTGCGCTTGCGATGGGTAAAATTATAAAAATCTGACACCCTTTTTTTTTTTTTTCCCATTTTAATGATGACAGCGATTTTAGCAAGCCATGTTTCACTTTTAAAACAACCCCTCAAAACGCGAACTTTCATTTTGTCTCCGCCATGTTTTTTTCAACATCCCCGAGCCGATGGAAATGAGAAGCCCGCGCCCCCCAACCCCCAATCGATCAGCTCTCGCCATAAATTTTCGGCACCCCGTTCCAGCATTATGCCCCCGAATTCGCCAGTCGCTAATTTCCCCGAAAAATCGAAAAGCCGAAATTTGAATCGCGAAAATTCGGCTGCGAAAATTAAATAGAATACTCCGAATACGTACCGTCATTGAAAATGAGACGCCGTGCGAGTGGGAATGCCGAAGGGTGGACGGCGATTGAATGTCCATCACCAGCAGATCGTAGTTTTTCGATTGGCTTGCCTGCAAAAAGCAGAAAATTCTATATTTCCAAATTGATCTAAAAATCCAATTGGTTCTTTCGCATGCGAAGTAATGCAGTAATGCGAAAGAAGAATCGAATCTTTCAAACGCACCAATTCTGGCAACACATGCACCGTGGCGACGTAGAGGAACGTGCCGGCGGAGAAGAGCATCAGGATACCAATCGTCGAATCGTTGCCCGAGATCCCGTCGGTGGCCTAGGAAACGATTAGGCCATGTAAAAACGGCCTCACCCCGCCGATGATCATGTAGGTGAGGATGGCGGCTGTAGGGGCGGCCGAGGAGAAGACGAGCAGATGCTTCTTGACTGCACGCTTATCGAGGCCCTCCATGATAAGAAACGAAACGAGGCCAAACGAGGCGGGGCCCTGAAATAGTAAAAATTGTTTTAAATTACGTCGTATAGTTGTTGAAAATGGCTTTTCTTATTTTGTCGAAAATTAGAATGTTGAAATCCGCCTTGTCGAAACTGCAAAAGTTGCAAATTAAATTTTCGACGTTTTTCCCTTTAATAACATTCGACAAAATGAAAATTTTCGACGACGAAATTTTATAAATAGAAATTCCACAAAATGAAAATCGATAAGGCTAAAATTCAACAAAATCAAAATTTCGATCCGATTTAATTTCGCCAAAACGAATTTCCGCATCATATATTTGGGCCAAACCAACTAAACCCACCTTGTGCAGCATGATGGCCATGAAGACGATCATCTGCACGTCGGTGCGGTTGATCGAAGAGGCGCCGCCAAGTGCAACTCCATCGGCTGAAAAAATCACATAGAAATAACTTTTAACAAATGAGAAGAATTCCAATCTTTGAATTTTGTAGATACTAAAAAGGAAGAAAGGGGAAATGAAGCTTTAGATGGTCCAAAACCTGACCAGCCGCGTGCACAACGAGCCCGATCGTCGCCGACAGTCCTATCCGCTGACGCCCATTTCGGTCGGCTGAAAAAAAACAGGTTAAATTTCGATTAAAACCCTACTAAACTTACACTTAGAAAGCGCAATGTTGCTGACTTGGTCGACGAGCAGCATGAAGATGAAGCCGACGACGAGGGAGTAGCCGATTTGCGCGTGAATGTTGCCGTGTTCTGAAAACGAAAAAATTAACAGCTAGGACACCAGAAAAATTACCAGCAGCTCCGTGCGCATGTCCGTGGTCGGCGTCTCGTTTCACGCGTGCGCCTTGGATCCTAAAAAGAAAGATTTCTTTGTAAAAACAGCGCAACAAACCCGTCCATAAGTTTCACATCTTTCGGGATCAACCTCGGGCTGTCCACCGGCTGGTCCTTGTTGGATGGGTTCGCCCCGCCGGCCTCCAGGATCGATTTGGCTTCCTAAAGTGAGAATTTTATTTTTTACTAGTTATGGGGTGTCCAGTTAAGTCTGATTGGGTTGTAAAATTTAGCTATATTTCAACTGCAAAAAAAATTTAGAGAAAAACGCTGACAAAAATGTCAAAATTTTTCTAAAAAGCCATTTTTTTTTCTAGCTTTTAATAACAAAGGTAAATTTCTAGGCTCAGGAATAGTAAAAAAAGCCTAGAAACACTTACGTTGTTTATTTTACATTTTTTCTACTATTTAACGCCGTTTTTGGTTATAAAAAACGCGCCAACACTTATAAAAAATATCAAAAAAGGCATGAAATATGACCAAAAAAACCAAAAACTTTTTTCAAATTTCGAAAAATGTTGAAAACATTTTTTTGTAAATTTTCAGCAACCTAAAATACTGAAAAGTTTATAAAACTATGCTATGATTATTAAAAGCTAGGCATGGGCGCAAAACAAAAACTAGCACCCCCGCTAACGGTCCAGTACCAAAATTCAAGCATACCTGCGGCGAGTCGATGGCGCCATGGACGACGACGGCGGCCGCGTCCCCGTGCGCGTGCTGATGATTTGATTCTGCAAAAAAATTGGATTGAAAAATTGAATAAAATTTGAATATCAGTTCCGTCCCTCGGACCCGAGAAAATCATCGCCATTTCCGATAAGCGACCACTCCCAAGAAGTCGCCAGCCCCAGCCCGCCAATGCTCCAGTACGCCATCATCGGCTTTTTGACCTACGAGATTTGCCGGTAGCCAAAAAGCCTTCAAAATCCTCAAATTAGCGTTATTATAGCCTCTGGCAGCTCCCCGACGCCGGCAAGATCAAGTACACCGGGATTAATGCTGTGGGACCATTTTGCTGTTTTTTTTGCTAAAAATCATTTTTCTAAGCTAATTTTTTATTTTCCTAAAGGCAATTTCCTTAATTAATCCCTAAAAATTGTATGATAACAATATTTTCTAAAGTTACCAAAAACTTGGCATCTCGGGTGCTCTCGCATTATCGGGAGGGGGATTTTCTTCTTAGGACCCGATCTTTAATCTAAATCGTGGAAGTGTTTCCAAATGCTTTTTATTTTTTCTACATCAAAACCGTGCACAATTTTCCAAAAATATGTAAAAAGTATCGATTTTCAGCCAGAAAATGCTGACTTTTTAGGCTACAGTTTACTCCACCCCCCAGCCGGAAGTTATTGGCTATAACTTTTATTTTACATTATTTTAGGCTCAAATTAAAACTCTTTGAATAGTTTTCGACGCTCTATCAGATAGCGTTGCGAAAATCCCGATAAAATAGCGGAAATACCGACAACTTTGAGACCCTTCGGCTGTGGGGGGGTAAAGCAAACTCTTACCCTTTTTA